ATTCTATTCTATTCTATTTCTGATTCTATTTCTGATTCTATTCTATTTTATTCTATTTCTTATTCTATTTTATTTATTCTATTCTATTTCTTATTCTATTTCTTATTCTATTCTACTCTATTTCTTATTCTATTCTATTTCTTATTCTATTTTTTATTCTATTTCTTGTTCCATTCTATTTCTTACTCTATTTCTTATTCTATTCTATTCTATTTCTTATTCTATTCTATTTCTTATTCTATTCTATTCTTTTTGTTCTGTTCTATTCTATTCTATTCTATTCTATTCTGTACCACTGCGACTTCAAACAATCACTAAACATTGTAGGTTGAGAACTACCTGTAGATGCAACCAGGATTAAAATTTAGTACGTCTTGAAGTCAGGCGTCAAGCCCGAATTCACCACTTGGAAACCTGACATCAGGGCTGACTCCGGACAACCGTCTGGATGAGGCGCTGCATAGACAGTATGTTGGTGAGATGTTTCAAATGGTTTGCCCTGAATCGCTTCCTTCCAAGGGCCGAGGGGGAAACTATATTGGCCAAGGTCTTTCCGTTTACTGACTTTTAATGAAATGAAATATGGTTGGGGGGATTTGGGGCAGCTGAAATCCACCCCTCTTCAAGTGGGCAAGGCTGAGACATCCCGAGTTAAAAATCCAATGGCCATCAGCTTTCAACCCAGCCTGAATCCTACCAGATCCAAACAGATTTTTGGAATTTATGGGGGGGTGGGGAATGTTAGCTCAAATCCCCAGAAAGAAATATTATTTAAGAAGCGCGCACCGAAAGGATAACCAGGCCACCTGGGACAAACTGTGCCAGCAAATTAACTACAGCTATGCAGAGAAGCGAGACAGGCCATTGGAAATGAAACGGCTTTACGGTAATCTTGTAAGACATTTATTTAATCGTCTTATCAATACAATGAAGAGAATACTACGGCGGCATCCATCTTGCCTACTTTAATTAAATTATCTGGGAAGCTGGAAACCGGTAGTGAGCAATCATTAGGCTCCTGTTGCACAAAATTGATAAGGCTGTCCTCCTGCATAATCCCCCAATATGAAGAGATTAAACTTTGGCGTGGCAGCTTGGAGATGGTCACGAAATACAGGAAACCTTTCAGGGCGAAGGGCTTTTTGATGTGCTCTCTCCATAAGAAGAGAAGTTTTTTAAAACCACTTGTTTTGCTTGTTCATGGTTCCTCCATTAAAAAAATTAAAGTCACCCGCGGACACCTGCGTTGTGGCCTCGTTTTGTGTCTCATGACCCAGAGCAAAATCCAACAAGGCAAGAAGATTTATAAAATTGATTTAAAAAAATAGGATCACCAACATGATCGCCAACATCTGATAACAGATATGGAAAAAGAAGGAGAAGGAGAAGGAGAGAAGGAGAAAGAGAAGGAGAAGAATGAGAAGGAGGTGGAGGAGCAGAAGTAAATGGAGGAGAAGGAGTGGAAGAATAATGAGAAGGAGAAGGAGGAGAAGGAGGAGGAGGAGGAGGAGGAAGAGGAGGAGAAGGAGGAGGAAAAGGAGAAGGAGGAGTGGAAGAATAATGAGAAGGAGGAAAAGGAGGAGGAGAAGAAGGAGGAGGAGAAGGAGGTGGTTTTCTGCCATGTCTTCCGGTCCTTTCACCAGCTTTTTGCACCGGGTCCCACAGCCGGATGGGAGGCAGAATTTCTTCCCATATTCTTTGTTTTTCAAAACTTTATTTCAAAGTTTCAAAAAGGTTTAGAATACCAAAAAAAGAAAAGGAATTTAAAGAAAGAGGGGCTCAGACAAAGTAAAACTGGACAGCGCAGACCAAAAGAAGGCAAAAGCTGCCCAAAAAAGTAAATTCTGAACTTTCTTCGATACAGATAAAAAGCTAAAAATCAGTGGCCCTTTGAGCTTCAATTAAACCATCAATAAACCTAAACAGTCGTTCTAGCATCATAAACAAGTCTAATCATCAGAAGCCAAGGTTAAATAATTTCTTCCAATATTCTTGTGGGCTGGAAAACAATCAGAAAGTGGTCTTTGGATCGTTTCCCCCACCCTTCCTTTCCCAATATTGCATGCGTAGAGAGAGTGGCGCTTTTGAGCTTTCTGTTCTAGCCAAGGCTTCCTGAGACAACAACAAACATATTTTTAGCTCAACAGCTGTGAATGATCGTCATTCACAGCCCATAATGAGTCTCAACCAGTTATAAATAGTCCCATGGAAGCCTGCCAAAGTCCTTCGGGAGAAGTCTGATAAGCATGCACCTTTATCTGACTTGAAGTGCTGCCAATGACTAAAGTACCAATTAGTCTTTCAAAACCAAACAGAGGACAAATGCACCACGGAGCTTTCAGGTTTCAAACCAACCACAGCGAACAACCTTGCTTCCTGCAAAGGCTCCTGTCCCTTTGCTCCTCCTTTATGTCTTATGGAAGGGGCCAATCACCTCCCAGCCTTACTCCCAAGTTGCTCCTTTTGTCTTAACTGTTCTTGCCTTCTGGCAGCTCTGTGCATGCACGCATTGGGAACAGGCTCCCCTTGTTCCTCTGCCTCGCTGCTGTCAGATTCTGGAGGCTTCGGAGTCGGCACATAACTCCCAGATGGTCCTGGCCCCATCTCTGTGTTGGACGCAGGACCCTCGTACGAGTCCTCCCCAGACACCTGGACTGGCCCATGTTCCTCCCCACTGTCCGACTCTGCTGCCATCACTAAATTAAAAACATTCTCTCTGCAGAAATGACTGCGGTTAAAAGCCGCTAAAAATCCTTCCATAATAAGGGAGGGAAATGAGGAATTTTGAGTGAGATTGGAAAGCCACACTTGGATGAATACCCTCGTTGCAACCAGCTGAACCTCCTGGAAAGGTTGCCAAACACCATTACGCAACCGTAGGGTGCCACAACTGGTTGTGAATGCAAGCCAAGAGGCCCCGAATTGAAAATGAGGTGGTGGGTGATGGTCATA